TACAGTGAAGAGGGGAACAGCTGGTACTGCTCTCTCTCTAGACTAACCTTTCTTTGAACAAGCTGCCAAGAATGCACTCTGAAGAATCTTAATGATGCCCTGCCACTTTATCTCCAGACCCCGTCCTGGAGCCATGGTGTGGGCAAAGTTCTCTCTGACTTTGGTGAAGGTTACCAAGTTAAGCCTGTTCCATGAGCTTCTGCAATTAAGACAGCAAAGCTGGAGGGCCCCTTTGCAAATATACATACGAGGTGTATATACTCAGTGGTATGCTGGTATGTGTTTAACAACTGACTCTGGAAAGAAAAAGTCCTGGTTTGTTGCACTTGCAGATTTCCACGTGGTAAATACTCCAAACCATGGCCAACTTCATGACTTGTATGATTTGACAACCTTGTACCTCGAGTTGGAAAGAGAAAGCACACAATCAGCCTTTCAATACAAATTATTTCCCCCAGTGTGAGATGTTAATACAAGGTCAGACAATTAAGTTCGTGAACTCTTCCTAGAAAAAGTGCTACATACCTCATTGCTGAATATCACTACGGTCACCTTCGAAGTACTCCCGTTGGAAAGTTATGCATTGACGCAAGTGCCTAGTCCACCCTTCAAAGCAATTTTGGAACTCTTTTTCTGGAATAGCCATCAGAGCTGTCGTCGTATTACCCTTGATGTCTTGAATGTCATCAAAATGTCTTCCTTTCAACATTTCCTTTATCTTCCAGTAAAGAAAGAGGTCATTGGGGGCCAGATGAGGTGAGTAGGGAGGGTGTTCCAATACAGTTATTTGTTTACTGGCTAAAAACTTTCACAGACAGAGCCGTGTGAGTTAGTGCATTGTCGTGATGCAAGAGCCATGAATTGTTGGCAAAAAGTTCAGGTCATCTCACTTTTTCACGCAGCCTCTTCAGCACTTCCAAATAGTAAACTTGGTTAACTGTTTGTCCAGTTGGTACAAATTCTGAATGAATAATCCCTCTGATATCAAAAAAGGTTAGCAACATCATTGTGACAAGTTCTCGAACTTAATTGTCTACCTCGTACAATATAGATAGATCTGCTCTAGTGATTAAAAGTAAAAAGCTAGGGTGTAGATTATCAAAGTCCCGCCCCCTTTTTAAGATGAACAATATCCTACAAAACTTCAGAGTCCATTCAGGCTCTCTTAGCCTACTCTTAATTGGAACCCTGGGGTAAATTTATCATCCAGACCATACTTTGGCTAAAGATTTCAAAACCAATATGAACCTGTCTAAAAAACATTATTCATGTAGTTTTTTGAAAAATACAAACTATGCAATGGACACATGGTATATTTAAAATGATAAGAAAATCACAGTGACTCCACTGGGTTCAAGATAGTTAGCTGAGTCATGTGCTCTTTTGTCAGTCTTGCCTTGCGTCATTCTCCAGCTTTCCATTCCACCGCTCAAAGCCCTCACCTGCAGTTCGTTGTCCTGGCTTTCTGTAGTCTGTTCATGGTCCTCACCCTGCAGTCTCTACCGTCTGCCTTAGCTGCTAACCTATCACTGTCACTTTGAAAGAGCTGAAGTTGTCAACCTAGACTCCGTGAGACCTGATTCCTTTTCCAGAAATGAAGAAAAAATGTGCTTTTGTTTCTAAAGTGTCTTTTAACAGACTTCTACCGAGATACTTCCAATCAAATGGACTCTACCTATCAAAGTGACTTAAGAATTATTCTAAAGAACCATATCCATCTTTATTTGAATCAGTTCCTTTCCGTGTTTCCACTTGAAGTAGCCAGAGTGCTGTGAGTGAAGAAGCCTTTAGTAAATGGTACACTATTAGAGTCTGTTGTGGTCACTAAAAAGCCGGGGTAGGGTGGGGGAACTTGTAATCTTATAATAGAAATGGTGAGGACACCCCTTTGTCGGGCTGTTGTTTCTGTTTCGTTTTTCTCTTATGGTCTTCGGCTCTAATCAGTGGGACCCCAGACACTGGCAAACGGAGTGCCAACACAGGTGGCTGGTTCAGCACACTCCTGCTGCCTCACCAGTCTCGTCCGAGCAGTGGAGGTTGAATGAATGAAGTTATAGGAAGCCAGCTTTCAGGATGCACATTTCCAAAGCTCCTCATATTGATCCTGACCACACCACAGCCAACCCTCAAGCTTAAGAGGGGTCCGTTATAATCTGTTAGAGGGAATATATGTGTTGTGTGTAGATGGGGTTCTGGGGAAGAACCGACAGAGGAAATACCCAGCTTTTTAAATCTCCAGTGGTGAATGTGTGGGAAAATAAGCCAATAGCCTCAGACAAGGGCAAGAGATAGCTGCCTCAGCATGAGGCAGGACCACCCCAGGTGATACTCTGGCCATGGGAGGAGGTTGGCATTTGTAGTTATAGTAATGGCATTGAGTTCACAAGAACTACGAGTGACATATTCTAGGATGCACAGCACAGCCCCATGCAGTAAAAAGTTATCACGTGCCCTAACTCTTTTCAATGTCTTACCACACATTCATGTGGGTCAAAGCACTGTTTATAAATATCTGAGCTTAGAACTTAACCCTGTGTCACATAAAAAGTAATCCCTTTTGGACTGTTCTATCCTCCTGTTCCCCAGAGTGTTTAAAAGGAAAATGAGGCCAATTCTGGGCACACACAACTTACATGGTTGAATAACAAAAATAAGAAAAACAAGCAGCTAATCGTTGTAAATAAAGTGAGGTTGGCAGGGTTTTAGAAAGGAAAGACCTATTGCAGTTCAGAAGCTATTTTGTGACTTGTAGAAAGTTATTCACAGCGGGTCTGAAAGAATTTAAAATAAAATTTTTGAATGTGAAACAAGATAGGGAAATCAGCGATTATCATTAGAACCCCATTAGAGGTCCTGTAAGTGGGAAAGGATTATTTTATTATTTGTCTAGTCAAGGAAACATAAAGGACACCTACCCAACAAGCGGGTCTCCTGTGCTATGTAATGTCTCACAAGTTGAACAGCTGCTACAAACATTAACCGCAATGAGATGGTGCTGATTTGTCTCTTGTTAAATTAGGACTTTACAGTAAATGCGATGTGTGAGTAATGGTATGCGCCGATGCACATCGCCCTGCAGTCACACGAGTGAAGAAGGGCTCTGATGACATACATAGCTTAAATAGGTTGGCTGCTTATAGTGGCTTTGTTTTCCTATCTCTAGGGTGGACACAGGGCCACTAACAAATGCCCCCTCTCTGTGGCTATCCCAAAAATAGCTAAATGACCACAGGTTGCCAGGCAGCGGAATTCTGATGTCATTCCCCCAAGTGAAACAATCGCTATTTCCTTATTCCAGCAGTTTCCAGTGAACCACGCCATTTAAGCAGCTGATAAACTATTTAAAAGACTTAGGTTCATTTTCTCTTGAGTCATTTTTATTATTTTTATTATTATTATTAGTTTTAGGTGTACAAAACAGTGCAATAGTTACACTTTTCACCCCTCACAAAGTGACCACTCGCCTTCCCCAGACAACCACCCCCTCCCCCGATATACATATCTATCACAATTCCATCGTCTTGAGTCATTTTTAATTTTTTTTTATCTTGAGAAGAAAATAAACTTTAAAAAGTATGTTCATCATTAAAAAACAGATCCTTGCATCACAGGCAGTTTTCTTTTTAACCTTAAAAATATCACATGTAAACATGTGATTTATGTTGGTTAAACTTAAACACCTTTTTTAAAATTATACCTCAACGTAGAGAAGGACAAAAAGAAAGCAATGGTGAACAAGACCAATGTGACTGTGAGTAATGTTTATTGTAATATTACAGGGGAGGTAAAACTTGAAGTTCAGGTTAATATAAGAAAACTAAATTAAAATGTTATCCTAAATGAAAAAGTTCAAGTCAGAGCATTAAGTTTTCATCTTTCCCTCGCTTGTATTATACTCTTTGTTCTTAGAAACATGAAACTCTGGGTAATGAAAAGCTATGTTCCAGGGACAAACAGTCACTCACTGTACTTGAATATCACCGGAATGCCAAACTTGTTTTAAAATTGATATTAGAAATGTAGAGCAGTGTGGAATCCTTTGGACACCAGTAGGGTGAATATGGCAGGGTTAGATACCCGCTTAGGTTTCAGATCTGAAAATCTCAGGTTACCCAGCCATATTTGTCAGCTTAACACCAGTAGGCTCCTTTATCTGGTGACCACCCTGTAATCGAAGCTTCCTTTTCCTTCTCATGTTTAATATTCAGCAGGAACAACCTCTGAAACATAACAGCCTATCTTTATTATCTTCTAAGTGTGCCTACATGGTGGATTGTATTTTCACTTGCCTAGAAACCAACCTAATGGGTAGCTAAAAAAACCTTACTTTTTTGTATGTGTCTGGTCCATACTGCAAAATATCACAAATTATATTTAGTGATTATTTAAATCTAACATTGTTTTCAAATTAGCTGTTACTATTAGCAGGATCAATTCTTTGAATTTTTAAATGAAACTTTTGGAGGAAGTATTGTTAGTAATACACTTACTGTATTTGTCTTTTTCTTTATTTTAATATTAGTGGATTTCTTTTTTTTGTTTTAAAGAAATTTTATTGGGGAACAGTGTGTTTTTTCAGGACCCATCAGCTCCAAGTCAAGTAGTTGTTTAATCTAGTTGTGGAGGGCACAGCTCCTTGGCCCATGTGGGAATCGAACTGGCTACCTTGGTGATAATGAGCCTGTGTTCTAACCACCTGAGCTAACCAGCAGCCCCCAATGTTAGTGAATTGCTTGTCACCAGTCCCCCTCCCGGTTATTGGCACTCCTTAAAATGCTGTCCTTTTTAGATTTGAGGTTATAAAATGTGGCAAGGGCACAACTTCCCTCATGTACCAGACTTGGGATGTTACTTGCTGTCCCCTCTTGATGGGAGGCATTATTGATCAAACACTGGATGGCATTGTAAGCACAGAAGGCCCCATTTCTGCCCTTCAGTGCAATTTGAAGCCTCACTGGGAGAAGCAAGGACACTGACATCTCTGCTTTTCAACTCCTTAGAACAGCCAACTCCTTCTTCTAGCTGTCGACTTAAACATCTCCCCCACCTGTCGCTCCTGCCAACTCTTCTCTCCCCCTGCTGGCCAATGTCCTGCTCAGTCGGCTGACTGGCAAGTCCTCCCATCGTGGGGCAGGGTTGGTCCCAGGTGCTGGCTGTTGCACAAGCAATTTCAGATTCTCTTGGAAGTAAGTTGTTTTCAGTGCCCTAAAGAAAAGAAACTAAAAAAATGAAGTTTACGCTTTCCATAAGAGAGAATTCTCTTAACAATATGATTTGTAAAATACTTATAGGAAAAATTGTCCTGATATTGTGTATGTATGTTCTGATCTGTAAATGAGATTTTCATTATTCTTCAGGGTAAAAATTAATGAGCATCCTTCTATTCTCAAGGCTTCTTTTATTTTTAGTAGTAGTATGAGTTTGCAGACATTTATCGGAGGATTTGGGGGACGCACTTGAACTCTAAAATGTTAGTATTGTTTATGGCTCCTAAATTATCATAAAATCTTAGTATTTATACATTTTGCTCACATTAGAAATGTGCACACATGTTAGTGCCACTTTGAATGTTGTATCTCTGCTGTTAACACTAGTCTGGTGCTCGTGATGATAAGGGCAAAGTGGAAACCACATTTGATTGGTACGCTTTTTTTTTTTTTTTCTGGGTTGAGAATTGACTAAGGTAAGACCTTAGCATTTTCCAAGTACCTGGGATTTAATGAAATTTGTTGACAAAGAATATCTGAACAACGCCTCTCCTGATGTTGGTACTGACTGTAGTTTATGTTGTGTAAACCTTGCTAGGCTCTAAATACAGTGTTCTAGTGTGTGTGTGTGTGTGTGTGTGTGTGTGTGTGTGTGTGTGCGCGCGCGCGCGTCTTCATGAACTTTGTACTTTATCATACCCTTTGAGAGATGAAAATCAATACTTCTGGAAGTCAAAACAATTTCATATTTATTCAAAGCCAGGAGCTGGTAACCCCAGATTCTATTAGTCAGTATCCTAGCCTAGGTACACTAAAAGAGCTTGTGACTGGTTATTAATCAAATAGTTATTTAAGATAACAGATGTTCCACCCCCACATACCATTTATAAGCTCTTGACTTTTCCCTGCCTGAAAATTCATGACTAGGAGGGAAAAAAGCTGAGAGACTTTATGTATATATGTATATTTATACAAGTGTATATATGCCTATACGTACACTCGGTTTTTATCTACTTTTCTAAAAACTGCTTTCCCAGCTCTCAGAAATACATACTAGAAATGTAAAGGAGAGAGAGGACAGGTTATTTAAATTATATTTTTTGTTGTGTATATGTTTGATGGTCAAAATAATTGCACCTTGAGTAATTGATAAAGAGTGCATCCTACAGGTTGTCACCAATTTAATAAGTTAACAAAGTGAGATAGTGGGAGCTGCTCTCGGAGAGTTGTTTTGATTGAATTGAATCTTTTTCAGTGTCTGCAGTGTATTTTGCCCATGCTATAGTACGTATAATTCTTTCTTAGACTTCATCAGACCTCCCATGCCATTAAGTGCGTGGACGGAATGGTGATTTGCAAGTGGGTCATTCACCCCTAAAGAAAACACGCATGGGTCATGTAGGGAAGGGGAAAAAATTCCCCTTTCCCTCCCCTAGTTCTTTTGGCTGGTTGAATAATCAAATCAGCAGGAGGCAGATTGGCAAGAGAAAATCAAATTTAATATCATGCACACGGGAACCCCACATACATGAGAGAGTCAGAGAACCCGCATACATGAGAGGTTAGAGATAGAATGGGGGATTGAGGTATATAAGACATCCTGAGCTAGGGATGAGGTAAGCCTTGGGGACTTCAAAAGGTCACTGCAGGATAAGATGAGCAGAGGTTTAGTAAACAGGGGTTTGCCTGCCCTATAGATAGTTATCTCTGGTACTGTCTTATGGGCAAGGCCTGTAATTCAAATTCTTCTAGGTTAAGATGTGGAGGAAGGGGCGAGGCAGAAGTTTCTCTTGAGCCTGAAGCTAAAATTGCCTTTAGCTCAAAGTAATCTGCATACCACTGAGGCACATTTTAGGGTGTCTCGTTCTGGACGCCCGCGGTCACAACATATAACCCACATTATAACCACAGCTGTGGATAGGAAGTCCCAGGCATCACAGTTCATAGAAGTTCTCCTTGAAATCCCCCCTACTTCATCACTTTCAAAATTTTGGTATAAGAAAGGTTCTGATAAATTAATAACAGATTTATTTTCTCTGTCCCCCTTAAGGTCAAAAAATATTTTGAACTTGAACCACTTGCACGTGGGAAACGCTGGATCCTGCAGCCCTGCTCGCTGGATGACATGGATGCACTGAAAGACAGCTTCTCTCAGCTGATAAATTTGTTAGAAGAGAAGGACCATGAAGCTGTAAGAATGTGAAATCTGGCAAAGAAAACGGGTTCCCAAAAGGCCTTGAACCTATCACATTATTTTTTCTCATTTTAATTTTATTTTGGTATCAAGACGATAATGGCTTCAGTATCTATTTTCCTCTAGTTATCTCAGACTCTCATCTCTCTGTTAAAGTGAATATTCTGTAAATCAGGTGACTTATCATCAGCATTAACGTCAAGTCCACACTACTGAGAGAGAATTTATTCTCTGTTTACCACTAATTATCTTCACTGCATGTCTCTTCCTTCTGTTGTTCTAAGTGTCTCTTCTGTCCTCTGTGCTAAAATGAATGGAGTTCGTGGCTCGCAGAAACCACATCCCTGATGGACTCAGGGAGACTCAGAACCTTGACTCATTTGCCCTGGGTTCGGGGTGGAGTGTTGTGTGACTGGGGTGCCCCAGAATATGTATATATCATTTTCAAGATCTCTTCACGGTTTTATTTTGTTTTATCTTATTTTAGTTTTTAGTTTTTTTGTATACTGGCCTTATAGATTATGGGAGAAAAATGAGCACCAAAAACTTCAATTAATCACCTTACCAGAAAGGAATACCCTGCCATAGTAAAATTACCTTTGAAGAGCTTAAAGACAAGATGCAAATGTTTCCTTCATTACGTCTAAAGTCTCCCTTCTTTTAAGAACAAAGACATTGTTTTAGTTTTTGAGACGAGTTAGAGGAAATTTAGGCACAATGCTTGCGTCACTGATTACTATATCATCAAGTTCTCAAATATTTTTTAATGGAAAGATTATCCTGCATAGAGTCAAACTGCAACATAATGTAGGTATCTTTTTCTAAAACTCTTAAGTGTCTGATTAAAATAGAGAAGATAATTTTTAAAATAATGGATAAAATTTTTTAAAACCACCAAATGAAGTTTAGTTTATACTGGCTAGGGTTTAAGCTGGCATGGATTTGACAAAGATAACAAAGACAGAATCGTCTGTGTATTCATTCGTTAAGTGCTAACATTAGTTTAATGGAGTCTGTTAATGTCTCCATACAGTAATGAAAGGTCTATCCGTATTTCTATTGCGAACCTCTATTTTCAGGGGTTTCAATGTGCCCTTAAAAACATTCTGGGGCTACAGCAAATAAATAATTTTAGGGCCCAGATTCAGGCTTTGGAAGGAATTTTTTCTTCATTTAATTTAAATGATAAAATTACAAGAGATAAATGTACAGTTTTACAAAAGTTTGGCACCTTTGACCTTTTCTAAGTCAGGAATAATCTATGGATATTGAGGTTTATGGTTGACATACCCTTTGGCACATTTTGTAGATTTTTGACCATTTACAAGACTAAGAGGCCAAATGATAGAAAACTGCTCCCTTCACCTGAGCAATAAAAACATGTTTGTAATTTTTAGGTAGCATAGACTGATGCTCAAATACCACAGACTCATACTGTATTACAGGAAGATGTAATACCTTGTTATTCTCTAGAAGATATGTCATTTCACTCCAGCTTTTGCGGTTTAATCTTGTAGGTAGATTTTAATTGAGATCATTACCTTTGAAACATCGAACAACTTCTTTAAGCTTTTTTTTTAATTGAACGGATAAAAAAGATTCATATTGAATTTTGTCTACGGCGTCTTTGAATATTTTTACACTGTGTAATCTGTGAGCAGCACAAACTTTTATTCCGATGCCCAGTTACACAATTCCTGCTTTTTTATTTTGTCCTGTTGTGCTCATCTTCTATGAAAAATAAATGATTATTAGGCATTGCTTTCTCTGCAAGTTCATTAAACGTAGAATGTTGTCTTTTTGAGATACTGTGGCTGAGTGCTCCTAAGCCATCTGTTAAATGACTTCCCGTTGTCTGTGTGTGTGTGTGTTCGTTCGTGTGTGTGCCAGTGATGGGCTTCTTCTCAGACCCACGACTGTCTGCAGTGTCTCAGCCGTCAGAATGAAAACATTATCAATCAGTACCCAACAACAGCTGTTTTTGACAAGTTTCTGTCTGACGCCTAATGCTTTGCAACTGTCAATAAGGCTCCTTCTTTGTCTAGCAGTTCGGGAGCTCGCTGTCTTGCTGCTTCCTTGTGCGGCATCCTGTCCTTGTAACCCTAGAATTTGCCATGTTTCAGAAATCCACACGGGGGAGGGGAAGGGGCTTGGACGGGCGTGTTGTGGGTGGGCGGTGGTTGTGCGTGTGTGTCATGTTCCTGCTTTCATGTAAAGTGCCACAGGTGTCTTAGTTTGCATATTCAAATATTATATAGGAAAAACAGTCTGTTATGTATTTCTTCACTTAGCTTCTTGTTATATTTATGGAAGTTACCAGTTTTTGTATCTTCTTAGCTAAAGCAGTTGCCTTTTTGTAATGGCAATTAATTTATATGACAAAACTTTGTATCTACTGTAGTTTACAGCATCAGTTGCTAATTAACTGCCATATTGCCCTGTCTTTCTATTAAAAAAAATACTGTGTCTATACTTAAAGGTTAACAGATTTCATGTGGACAATTGCCAGGCAAGAGCTCGTATTGTCCGTGATTTATATATATGATTTCCACTATCTTCAAATGAAAATAAACGCTGAGTAGAATTGATGTTTTCAGACTGACTCCTTTCAGCTTTCGCTTTTGGGAGTCCCAGATTTCTGTTTATGTTTGTGGTGCCTGCTTAAGTCTTCAAAATAAGTTATGCTGTTCTTCGGTCAAAACAAATGATTAATTCGTATTTCCTTTGAAGCCATTGTGAAAACCTTAAAAGACAAAAAAAAAGCAAGTGTCTTTTCCACTTGGTTTCTCTTCAGCAACAATTCACTTTCTCTGGAGCCATTCCTTCAGAATGAGTGAGTCAAGATGTTAATGTAAAGTGTCATCCTTCAATCAAAGCATCATTTTGTAATATTTGCTGTCAAAGCAACTTTCTCGGAGTGGCTGTTTGATGCAATGAACTGTTTCCTTCCATGGTGATTGATGCCCTTAGGAAATACGTAAATATTTTTAAGTGATTCAAGAGAGAATACTACATATGTACAGGTCCATTCTTAACGATGAGCATATTCTATAAAAGACAAAGAGAGTGAAAAAGAAATGGACGGAAGAAGAGAGAGAAAGAAAAAAGCGGGGAGAAAGAAACAAAGTACATAATAGAAGTTGAAAATTCAAATCCCAGCTCTTGTTTGGTCCCTAGTGCAGCATTATCCTGACACATTATTTAACTACACAGAAAGCTTGCAACACTCCACTTTTGAGCTGGGATCCAACCTGCATTCCTAGTTTTGTTTCCAAGGTATGCGATTAGCAATTATCAAGTTCCTAAGTATCTCAGACCTATCCAAGCAAACATGGACAGAACTGTAAGGTTTTGAAGCCAGTGGGATTTTCTCAATGTCCAGATGGAATATTCCAACTCGACTGGAAATCTAATATTCATGCCTGGCTTCGTCGTCTTTATAATTTTGGAGTGCATTTTCATTAACCTCCTGACCTAATGGTGCAAACAGAAAGGAAAAGGTATGGGGAGCGGGGCAGGGAGGTGGGAGTGGCCCTTTGGGATACCGCATTTTCAATGAGCTTGCAAGGGAGGATCTGTCTTTGTTATGCAGAAACTTAAGGAGAATAGGGATTCCCTGCCTTCTCTATCCCCTCGCCTGGGTCTTGGAGATCTGAAGTTCATGCTGTGAAACACATTATCACATCGTGTTGGGAATTCCTGGCTCCCAAAGGTTCACAGCTTTTGGTCTCCACTGAGTCAGCATGATTAAATGATTTGCATCTCAGGAGTAAAGGTTTTCCAACTCGGATGCATGAAGTGACTGATGAGCCCACATTTTGGCACCCTACTCCACCCCCACCCCCATGCACTGATTTAGGAACATGAAAAAGGATCTAAGGCCCTGGAGCCTCAGTTGGGACACCAGTCTTCCCTCCCCTTTCTCTTTGAATTAAAAACTAAATGAAAAAAACGCTCCTTGCACCCACTGTTTCATTGGAGCTGTAAATTCTGACTTCATCCTGGGAGGTTCATCTGTTTATGACAAACTCCATTAAGTGACTTTCTGTGAAACCAGTGCAAAGAATTTAAAAGGCACCAAGAAGAATCTCTTCAACATATGCCTTATCTTCCTTTCTTCACAAAACAGATTTTCTCTATCCTCACCTGGCTCCGTCTCTGCTCCATGAGACAAGCTCTGTTCCCTGGGTGCTGGGTTAGACAGGCCAGCTACCAAGGTCTCAGGCTTAGCTTGCACCCACCGTTCCTGCTCTGCTCAAGTTCTCGTGGGACACTGTATATGAATAATTACTTTTTACAAGGGAATAGTTCAGGCTTTGTGGTTTAAAGCAACTTCACTTGCTTACCATATATAGGTGGTAAGGTCAGTTGTGAGGTCACTGATACCCTGTTTGGAAAGTAAGGAAAGGGACTTCTCCATTAATGTCTTGCTTGCTGTCTGACCCAGCCTGACTGTTGCCCCCGTCTGTCCCCCCCCCCCCCCCACACACACACACTGCTCTAGTAGATATTTCTACAACTATGGACCAACTTGGGAACAGCCATCAAATTGCACTTTAAAAAATTATTTTCTGCAAACTACCAAAGAATAACGAGTTCCTTTTTTTCCTTTTTTGTTCACAAATCTCTCCCTCTAATGTTCTCAAAATATTCCACACAGACATTTAAGCCTGGTTCTTTCTAGCAGCAACATTCCAACCACGGAGGTGAGTTGACAATGTAGTCCCCAGAGAGGAAAGCCTGGCTCGCACGCATGGGGACAGGGCACACTCTGACAAATGAAAACAAACCTTGAATAAGCATCAGGTTCCCTGGTCTCCATTCCCTGTTTCCTCACGGGGTATGGGGAGGTGGGGGAGCTGGTCAATTCAAAAAAGCCGAAGATCACTCACATCACAGCAACCCTTCCTGTAGGTGTGAAATCCAGCCTAGGATGCCACAAGCTTTGCTGACAAGTGATTCATTAAGACAAAGGCTGGAGCTGCAGCATCAAACAGATGTCAGACAAAAGACCAAACGCCTATAAATAATTGCTTTGCAAGCAATGGAATGACTGGAAGACCTGGCCTAATGATGCACTCCATGTCTGGACAAGCTTACAGAAGACATAGGTGGTGGGGAGCCGACTGGGAGAGCTGTTTTTAAGTGGTGTCTGTGAAGAAGGCCGTTTCTGGAGAGAAGTGAAACTACAGGTCTCACCTGAGAGGCTCATGTCAGGAAGAAGGATTCCTGGCTGGTGTGTATATAATGGATGTAGAGGTCAATCAGAGAAATGCATGTCAATCGTACCCTGAAGGCCAGACGGGTGTGATATGATATTAAATCATCAGAGATATAAATATCAGAGTAAATTAAAAATTAGAAGATTTTGTTGGAATGGAAGCTGCTCACCAAAAGGCAGAGACAGGAATGCAAACAGTGAGTCTGGCTGTCATTCTCTATAATCTGGAGCAAGTCAGACATGGCTCTGGACGTTCTCCAGTTGTTTTACAACTTACTAGACATGGGGTGTATCAACCCCACACTTTTATTAAGCAGCTTTGACGGGATTTTTCAAATGGCAGCTGGGCAAGATTCAATTTATCATTGTTCTTTTCATAGGTTTTTATTTCACCATTGGAACCTTTTGGTTTTAATGATATGGCTTTAATTTATCCATTCATTCAGTATATTTTTGTTGAACACCTACTATGTACCAGGCATTATGTTAGGTGCTTGGGATACAGCTGTAAACAGGACCGACTTCGTCCCTACCTTTATAGGACTTTAATTCCTGTAGTATTTGGTTAAGTTGGATTGTTTCTGTGACCCTAGAGAATTTTTTTTTAATTTGGGGGAATATTTTGTTTTGTTAAAACTGTACTTTAAGTTGACTAACTAGATTTTTAAAATATTTTCTTTTGGTCCTCATTCCTGATTTAATTTAATCATTTAAAATTTTAAATTGTCTTTGAATGCTGTTTAGTTTCTTTTGAGACCATTAATAAAACTAGAAATCTAAACAAACACGTACAACGGAAAAGGCTTTGCCTCTTTTTAGCATCTTTTTAAATAGAACTCTGTAAAGCTAGCACCTTTCATTCTGCTGTTTTAACTGCTACGATAATGAAGCATGTGTCTAACACACAAAAGTGCTTTCTGAGTGCAAAAACCAAACCCTGTCAGTCACCTCCTGCTCTTTTTATCTTCTCTGTATTCAGAGGGCTTTTTACCTCCTTCTCTAGAACAGCTTGGTCTCATCCTTCTGTCTGTTGATCTGACAAATGATCTATATTTGAAAGGTTGAATGTTGAATCTCTAAGAGCCAAATTCTTATTCAGTGGCAATCTTCTGTGTTTTATTCCACCTATCAGTAAAGGCTGTTGTGTAAAAAAGCAAGCCACAACTTATATGCCCAGACAGAGGCAGGAACCTGTAAGCTATATAACCCCCTGGACTTTTTTACCTAGTCAGTGGCAGGGTGTTTGAACTGGAATTCAGGAGGTTGCTTTGCTTTCCTCTCATTAAAGATTAGGAACTTTGAGAGACCACTTTAAACCCATCATTTATTCCAAGATGGCACTTGAGCAGAGTTGGTTGTTTAGCAGGAGTTACTACATTTTGGATTTAGAATGCTCTTGAAAATCTGTACCAACACCATTCTCATTCCCTTGAACACCTAAAGTTCATACTATTCTTCCCTCACCAGCCCCAAGCCCTGTAACCGATGTGCCTCTCAGAGAAGTATAACGTATCCCCCTACAGTTTACTGGCTTGGTGTCCAGGTAGGATCCAAAAAATAAACTGAAAAAAAAAACTTATCTATTTCTATTCAGTTTCTTCATTTCAAGTCATCCCAAACTTGTAGGTAAAGGAAGCAGGATCCAATGAAGTCACAGAGTACCAAACATTAATTAAAATGTATGGTTTATAATCCGAGGTTCTGCCGCTAGTGAAACAATAGATCTGAGCAGTGGTCTTCAGTGTCTGCTAACATCACAAAAAAGGAAGCAACCAAGAATTTGTACTGCCTGAGAGAAGTGTACAATACCACCTAGGATGTGTTCTTGCCCCAAAAAATTAAATTGAACCTGAGTCTAATCAAGCCTCTAGACCTAACAATTTGCAGGAAATATAAGACCAGAGAAGTATTTTAAATCATACCCAGTGATGTGATCATTAAAATCCAGACTGTTGGAAACTTGACTGGACAGATGAGTTGGTTTCTTAAATAAATGGTAAGAAAGAAAAAAGAAATAGAGGGAGGAAACCTATAGATAAGAGAGTCTTAAGAGCTCTATCAAGCAGGTTCATAAGATGGACTTTATTTGGATTCTGGCTCAAATTACCCAAATGTAAAACTAAAATTTGAGACAATTGGAGAAATTTAAACACTTACTGAATATTTTACAAACTAAGGAAGCATTGATGACCAAGATATTTTAGGTGTCATCATGGAATTGTGGTATTTTTCAACTTATCTATTAGTAACACACACTGAGATATTCATGGATGGAATATAATGGTGCTTAAGATTTATTTCAAAATAATCTATTAGCTAGAGAGAGGAGCAGAAGGGGGTGAGGCTACAGTTAAAACAAGATTGGCC